AAGAAGTCAGACACATGCAGTACATTCCATATGATTTTATTTATATAAAGTTCAAAAACTGGAAAAACAGATATATATTGATAGAAATCAGAATAATAGTTACCTTAGGAGGATTACTACTTTCAAAAGGAAAACAAGAAGGCCTTCTAAAAGGCTGAAAATATTCTATATTTTGATATTAGTTGTGGTTACATAGGTATATAAATATGTAAAAGTGAATTAAACTGTATGCTTATGATTTGTATCTGTATATGTCATACCCCAACTAAAAACAAAGTTTTTAAGAAAAATCTTTTTGGCCGGGTGTGGTGGCTCACGCCTGTAATCCTAGCACTCTGGGAGGCCAAGGTGGGAGGATCGTCTGAGCTCAGGAGTTTGAGACCAGCCTGAGCAAGAGCGAGACCCCGTCTCTACTAAAAAAAATAGAAAGAAATTAGTTGGACAACTAAAAATACATTAATAAAAAAATAGGCAGACATGGTGGCACATGCCTGTAGTCCCAGCTACTCAGGAGGCTGAAGCAGGAGGATCAGGAGTTTGGGCTTGAGCCCAGGAGTTTGGGGCTGTAGTAAACTATGCTGTGCCAGTGCTCTCTAGCCCAGGCAATTAGAGCGAGAGGCTGTCTCTAAGTGAATTAATTAATAATTTAATTAAAGGAGAAAAGACAGTGTAATCATTTCAGTAGATACCAAAAAATCATATAGTGACATCCAATATCTTTTGGGGTTATATAATCACTTCAGGTACCTAGAAACATTGTATCAAATAGAGAGTCATTGGAACTTTTTCCATCAAAGTCAAGTTCAATACAAGCAGGGTACTGTTGCCTCTGTTTTTCCATGTCATGCTGGAAACCCTGACAAAAGATGCAATAAGATGGAAAAAGAGGGTATAAATATTGGAAAGTAAATCAAACTTTCTTTTCTGGGTGAAATGATTTACTTAGAAAAATCCAGAGAATTGCTTGATAAATTATTTTAAGTTTTATAAGATAGCTAACTAAGCAAAGAGACCAGATATAGGATCAACATACAGAATCAATAACTTTCCCATATATCAGCAATAATAGTTTAGCAAATAGAAATTTTAAATCTTATTTCGTTTTTGCAGTAACCCTGAGGAAGATTTTACAGATGAGAATGATTCAAGTTTAGTTTGCCTGAGCCCAGAAGGGTCTTTTTTTTTGGGGGGGGGGTAATTTCTGTTTTTGTTTTTTTGAAGGTACATTTGCAGGTCACAAGGGCTGTTGCTCACTGCATCATGGCACACAAGACCTTCCAGATGGCAGTGCCCAGCCTCACTGTCCACAGCAAGAGGCATTCAACACCTACTCTGACCTTGTTCTCTCAGGATGCTGGGAAATGTGTTGCTGAAGCTGCCCTTCTTAGAATCCTGAAGTCCCTGAGCACAGAGGACCTCTGCTTTTGCTCTTTTTGAATTCAAAGCCCTTAGAGTTTAGAAACACCCACTGGAGAGCAAGTCTAGTGTAAAACATAGCCAGAGGGCGTGTGATTGCCAAGTCTTTCAGTTGAAGGTGACAGCTATTGGATTGGTAGGTTGATAGGTGTCAGTAGCTTGTGCACAGAAATAATGGAGATGTTTATAAATCTTGCCTTTGTAGTGTGTATGTGCATACCTTGGGCTGCTGTTCTGTGGTCTGTGCAAACCACAGCAGAGTTACAGGAGAGCCAGTTCAGAGTTGCATGTAGGTAAAGGGATATTTTTTTCCCTTGCCTTCCTTGGAGGTACCCTGATAGTACATTTCTTTCATTTGTAGGTCACACTCACCGCTTTGCAAGCTTTATCTGATAGTATAGATCTGAAATAAGCATCAGCTTCTGATGGAACCTCTTCTTCCCCCCAAACTTGGAGCAGTTGGGCACGGAAGGCTGCAGGCCGGGCGAGGCCGTACCCTCAGCTCTGCCGTCAGGGCAGTGGCCTGCAGGTGCCTCTTGATGTCTTCTGGCCTTCTTGCTCCTTTGTGCAAATTTGTCATTACATTAGGAGATATTGCAAGCCTTTCTCAATCTCCATCCTCTGACCAGTATCTAGGGAGCTTTGCCTGTGCAGTGGGAAGAGGTGGCTGGGATCGAGGAGGTAGGATGGTGCATCAGAAGGTGGTGTTTCTGATTGACTAGTGCATCCTAGGAAAAACTGCATGTGCCTCATGACAGAGTGACTTTCTTTCTATACACTGTTAACCCAAACATGGGTCACAGAAAGTAGGTGGGATTAGGGTGAACACGAGGCTAACATGGAGGTGACTGTTACATGTTACCTGGGCTTCTGAGAACTAAATGCTGAGAGCATATTACAATGGGCAACATAAGTATAATGTCTAACCTAATAGATGACTGTACTGTGGATGTTGGATAGAATTTAACTCTTAAGATTTGAATCACACTGAAGGACCCTTATCTACTCATTCAAAAGGTATTTGTTGAGATCCTTAGTGACCTTTATATTGTGAGACGCCATCCCCTCATCTTGGTGTGTATAAAGCAGGGTGCACCATCTTACTTGAAGAAGTTGTACTTTGTGTTAATTTCAACAAAATACATCCCAGAGTAGGAATTGGAAGTGGGCTCGCCTGCGTTTGAGAGGCGGCGATGTGGTGCATTAGAAATCTCACTGGGCTTTGTGGTCAGTGAGCCTGTTTCAGTGCCAGCTCTGCCAGTGACCGCATGCCACCACGGGCAGGATCCCTCATCTCTCGGAGTCCCCCGTGTGCCTAGGTGTGACTTGTAGATGGTATTTTACCTGTTACCTGCAGGCTGTGCTAAGGAATGGTATTCACATGTAGCTCAGGACTATACTCTCATGATCTGGCAGTGTTCAGAGTCGTTTGCTTTATGTGATAAAAAAGGGAGGCGCTGCCTTGGAAGACATAGGCCAGTGAGAGTTGGAGAGCGGGCCTGAGTTTGGAAGAAAGTAAAAAGTGTTATGTATCAGTTTAGTGTCTTTCTGTTACTGGGAAACAAATTGAGTAAAAAAGTCAGGAGACACTCTATCATTATACTAATGTGGCCAGCCCTGGCTTGCAACTGCAAGAAGGGACATCCCAGAGTCAGACCCCAAGATTAGACAGACCTGCCCGGCTAGGCATGGGCACTCTGGAGAGGCAGGCCCTTGACCTCTAGGTGGACCACACCGCACAAGAGTGGCCATTGACACGTGCTGTCTGCCCGTTGCATGGTTCCCAAGAGGCAGAGGAAGGAAGTAGCAGACCACATGCACAGCCCACTGCCCCCATCTGGGGAGGAGTGAGCAAGGCACAGAGAGGCCCAGAGGTGTTGCAGGTGGAACTACTGCCACAGGAAGGAAACAGAAGCAAGAACAGAGTGCGCCTAGGTGACAAACCCAGTGCATTCTGGCTTAGGTAACAAAAGAGAATTATCAGTGGGAAATCCTGGGCTTGGCTGGATCGAGAAGCTCAAGAGATGTCCTTGGGAGTCCTCTCGGTTCTGCTTCCCTTCATCCTCACATAGATCATTTCTGTGTGCTCACCAGAAAGCCAGGCTTATGGGACCCTTAGATCCTGATCGCAGTGTTGGAGACAGCAGCTTCTGCCCTCTCTGTCAAAAGTCTTTCTGTATAGCTTCAGAGAGCAGCATGTGTTCGTATCAGAATCAGTCTCTAGGGATTAGGGGATCGGAAACAGGCACTAGCATCACATGGACCAAACCCAAGCAGAGAAAAATCCAGGAGGTTGGGTCCCTGAAGAGATGTCACACATGTCGACCAAGCTTTAGAAATGAACAGTGATTGTGCTGCTTAATGGCAATGTGGGTCTTTTCAATTTCCTGAATTCTTGTAGTCCCCTTTTCTGAGTATATATTATTTTACGAATGGGGAGGAGGATAAAAAGAACTTTTATAAGTCTATTTGTTTTATCTGGCCTTGTCCCCAAAAGGATTTATGTTGGCTAAGAAAAACATGTAAAATAAAGAGACATACACAGAGAGGAATGAAGATGAGAGTAAGAAGCACAGCCAAGAAGGAGTTCCCATATGTTTGCCAGAAGTGGGACACCCAGATATCAAGGAAAACCTTTTCGTCTATTGTAGGGGGGAGTCACTCTAAGGAAGGAAGCTGACGGAAGGGTGGGGATTCTGAGGGGCCCTGGTTTTAAAGGTCATTGCCAGCTGTATTTAGCAAAGCCTTTATGAGTATGTGGCCCCTGGGCCCAGAGGGTTGTAGAGAGCAGCCACCACCTGGGATCCATTGGCCTGCTTCTCCGAGTCTCTCAGGTGGGAGCTTGTGGCACGTAGATGGTATATTGGGTGGCAGTGAGACCACCCGTGCTGGTGGGATCTGCACATACCATCCATAGTGACAGCTGATCACCTTCAGCAATGATCTGGTTGGAGTCTCCAATTGTAACTCGTCATCTCAACGAGGAAAACCAGCTCTGCACTCACCTCCACAGGGGTGGCTTTGTTCTGTGCAGTCATCCATCTCACTTCTAGTTTAAAGTGATCCCCAAGGGTTGCCTCCAACCCCAAAGATTATAAGATTTCTTCCTGGAAAGCCCATATTTATGATACCCTAGAGGTATCCTTACCTCTGAGACTTTCCCAGGCTGGGGTTCACCCCACATATAAACATTTGGGGTTTATTTTCGCCTGTCTACATCTCTCCTGCTGCCCATGGTACCTCGCAACTAGGGCCACACATGGGGTAACCCTGCTTGATCAGACAGCAACACACCAGCAGGAGCCTACTATATTGAGCCCTTTGCCCAAAGCCAGTCGCTGCTCCCACATTTGAGAAAGCAAACCCAACTTTGCAGGGTCTGGCGGCTGGGTTTCTTCGCCTGTTGAGCCATCCACATCATGTTTTCTCTGCCACAGCCGGGATAAACTCAGGATTTGGGGAAGTCCAGCAAGATGTCTCAGTTGGCGAAGAGATGGTATTTGAATACTACATGTTGCGGTTTGGTATGTGGGTTTTTGTTGTTACTGTTTTTTAATTGACTCTTGTTACCTCCCTCTAAACAGACAGCTACAGACAGTTCTTCTAACTCCTCTCAGAAGAGGGAACAACCTACTCGGACAGTCTCCTCACCCACATCCTGTGAGCACCGGAGGATTTATACCCTGGGCCACCTTCACGACCCATACCCTACAGACCACTATCACCTCGATCAGGTGAGCAGCAGTCTCACTTCTCTGAGGTCATCAGGGGGGTGGCTTTGATTCTGGGATGGCCTCCTTTCCTCCCATTCAGCCAAACGCCCCAAGCCCAGGCCTTTTCCGTTCTCCAACTCTTTTCCCCACCCCATATTGAAGGTGGTGGTGGTCGTGGTGGCACCTCAGCCCCATTCAGAGTTTTCTTTGTGCCAGACACATTGCCAAGCCTTCTATATGCTTTCTCTGGTTTAATCTTCACAAATTTTCCCACAAGTTGTCAGCATCCCCGGTTTACAGATGAGGAAGCTGAGGCGAGGGGAGATGGAGCACCTAGTGGAATGAGATTCAGATCCAGGTCTGTCCTCACCCAGGTGCTACGCTGCCCCTGGTGTTGGTCTGTGCAAAGGGCCTCCTGGCTTTGTGTGAAAGCAGAGCCACAGTCAAGACTGAGGAACGCTGCACACTTGGCCTCAGCCCCCTGCCATCTCAGGCAGCAGCCCCAGTCTTGCTCAGGGATGTAGCTAGAGTCTGGAATTTAGTATTTCAAAAAATATTTATCAAGTGGCTGCGTTGAGGAGCAGGTTCCCAAATCATGGGGCATGGACTGGTGCCCACATGGGGTGATGTGGCCACTAGACTGCTTCGAAATAAGAAAAAAGGAACACAGGGCAGTGAAGGTTTTTTGTTTGTTTTGTTTTTTAACATAAAGCTAGGTTTATTTGACTCGTTTTAAAACATTCTGTTGTGTGCATCCTAATATTTTGGCATTGAAATGTCCTTTTGTATCTTTTTTAAAAATCATATTATGGTTGCAGTAGATGGAAATTGACTTTTTAATTTTCCTTACTTTGCAAAATAAAAATTAGCAAAGCCCAAATCAGCTTCCTAGATTTGTTTTGAAATCCTTCAGAATTGTGATTTTTTCAGTCTGGGAAACTGATAACAGAGTTTGATGGGAATTAAAGCAAAATGTGTGAGACATGGCCCCTGTCCTCAAGAAGCTCACAGTTTGGTGGGAAGTGACAGGTAAATCTATAATAATTACCATGTGATAAATTCTATAGCAATATTATAATGGCAGTGGTGGCAACAGATACCCAGTTCATCTTGTGTTGCCAGGCTTTGAGCTGACACTCTGCATAGGTAACTCTCTTCATTCTCACAATGGTCCTATGCAGCTTGATAGACAGGGAAACTGAGTCTTAGTGACTTGCTAATAAATTTGTAGTCAGCATTTGACTGCAGTGGGTCACTCCAGACCCATGTTCCTTGCCCCTTAAAAATTCTTCATGCCCAAAGGACTTTGAAGGTGGGAAATCTCATTCTCTGCCTCAACTGAGATGCCCTGAGCAAGGTAGAGTTACATGCATCTGTGCAATAAATATTTATTCAGTGCTTGCCTCTGTGGACAAGGTACTGTTGTAAACTGTAGCAGGACTAACAGTAGAGAAAAGACTCTTTCACCCTAGGGGAGAATGCAGTTTGGATATGAATGTTAAGGGTATGGCTCTGGGTCTGGTCACACACTGTGAGATCCTGGCAGGATTCAGACCCAGGCGGTCAACAGTTCGAGCCTTCACTCTTACCCTTCCCTTATCTGTGCGTCGTATCTTCCCAACCAAATTCTAAGGTGAGCCTTATATTTTCTAGTATCCTCCTGTTGCCCTTTGGAGCATGACCTGCAGTGAGAAATGCATCGTATAATGTGACCCTGCGTGCAGATACTGCACACGCAAAGATGATGAAGTTCCGGGACACAGTACTTACCCTTATAACATGCAGTGCATTCCAGTAGCCTTATGCTGTTTCATGAAAAAAAAAAAAAAAAAGCAGCAGCAGCCAGTCTTACAAAAGAGAACATACTGTACAAAAACAGGCAAAACTTATCTAAGCTGTTAGAATTCAGCCTAGCCCTCACCTTGGGGGCGGGAGTACCTGGGGGAGGTGGGGGATGTTCTGGGGGGGCAGGTCCTGCTCTGGATCAGGATGTGCCCGGCGCCTGAGCACTCAACAAACTACTCTCGCCACATGCGTACTTCCCTGCCTGTGCTAATACTTCATTGAAAAGGGAAAATAGTGGTAGTCTCAACCCATTCAATTTGATTTTTCTGACCCAGCAGTGGATTGAGACTCAGTTTGAAATACATCTTTGACTGATGGGCAAGATGTTCTGTCATGACAGGATGGGTCAGTTTCTTCAAGAAGTGCCTCTGTGGAGGTGACAGGTGCATTTTGGAGGATTTGTAGGGAGGCGTTTTTATGACTATCGGTACAAAATAACGTCTCCTCTTTCCCGGGGCAGCCGATGCCAAGGCCCTACCGCCAGGTGAGCTTCCCGGACGACGACGAGGAGATCGTGCGCATCAACCCGCGGGAGAAGATCTGGATGACGGGGTACGAGGATTACCGGCACGCGCCGGTCCGGGGCAAGTACCCGGACCCCTCGGAGGACGCGGACTCCTACGTGCGCTTTGCCAAGGGCGAGGTCCCCAAGCACGACTACAACTACCCCTACGTGGACTCTTCAGACTTTGGCCTTGGCGAGGACCCCAAAGGCCGCGGGGGCAGCGTGATCAAGACGCAGCCCCCGCGGGGCAAGTCCCGGCGGCGGAAGGAGGACGGCGAGCGCTCGCGGTGCGTGTACTGCAGGGACATGTTCAACCACGAGGAGAACCGGAGGGGCCACTGTCAGGACGCGCCCGACTCCGTGAGAACTTGCATCCGCCGGGTGAGCTGTATGTGGTGTGCGGACAGCATGCTCTACCACTGTATGTCGGACCCCGAGGGAGACTATACAGACCCTTGCTCGTGCGATACTAGCGACGAGAAGTTTTGCCTCCGGTGGATGGCTCTTATTGCCTTGTCTTTCTTGGCCCCCTGTATGTGCTGTTACCTGCCTCTTCGGGCCTGCTACCACTGCGGAGTGATGTGCAGGTGCTGCGGCGGGAAGCACAAAGCCGCCGCCTGACTTGGTTTCTCTCCCTTCTCCCCCCTCCATCCACAACCGCAGGGGAACTCGTTGTCTCTCACATACTGTCATCTCCTCCCCTGCTCCCTTCCACTCCGAGGCGCGAGGAGAGCAAGAGGCCCGCCAGCTCCCTGGTTCCTTGGGGCACCGTTCCAGCCAGGGGCACCTGCCGGGTGTGCTCCACCGCCCCAGCCCCCACACTGCATCAGCCACGCACCCATGCACATGCCCACACGGTGTTCTAAGGAAGGAACCTTCGGCATAGACTCGTGTATTATTAACAATCTGGAACCAAGCTCACTGTCTTACCATGTGTCGATTTCCTCTTTCCTCCCCCACCTCTTCCAGTTCAAAGGTGTCTGCAGTTGGAACTAATGATTTTTGGTGGGTTTTGTAGTTGTTTTTTTCCCAAGAGTACGAAGACTATCTTTCTCTTGGTTCAGCTTGCCAGTTGCTAGCAAGCATCAGGTGCCTGCGGATGTGTGATGTCAGAATGATGAAACCCTACCGGAAGCATTTAAACCTGCAGTCACTTACTATGTATAGGAGGTGAGCTAGTTAACAAACTTGTACCACAAAACAATATTGCTTTAACTTTTCTAAAGCCAAATTTCCCATGTAAGCTGCAGTTTCTATCTTTAGCCCATCATCATTTTCTGCACCCAAAAAAATCTGTCGAAATTATTCGCTGATGCAAAACATTCACCCGTAAAATGACTGAGAATCAAGCCTTAACTTCAGATTAACTTGTAAGAATTAGGAAAATTCCTTAAACTGCATTGCAGCCTCTTGGACTAGGGCTAGAAAGGGGATTTCAGGTTTCTACTAGCCTCCCCAGTTATCCCTAAAGTAGAACTTTTTAAAATTGTGTTGCTACCACTTCTAAAAATTTCACAATATTAGAATGACACTAATGAAGTAAGAAATTTTGCTCGTATTTTGCAAAATAGTTTACTCAAACACAAACCAGTGTTCTATGAACAAGTTCCAACTGAGAAACACTAAGGTTGTGGTGAATAAAACTATAGGAGCTTCCTTCCTCTCCCCCCCCCATGGCTATTTTATATTAACTGGGGGGAGTGGATTTTAAATGTCATAATATTTGAAGAGTGGTGGGTTGCATTTTGTTCATGGGTTTATGTTTTTGTTGTTATTTTGGACTCAATTTCACATCACCAAATTCTTCATTTATACTTGGGGAAAAAACAAGGCCATATGTAAAAACCCTTCCAATGCCTAAGTGTCTTTCTCCTGCAACTCCAAACCCAAACTTGCCACTTTGGGTGCACAGATGGTTAGGTCAGCCGACTGGTTCTGCCTGTCGCCTCACCACGTAGGAGGTTTCTAATTATCTGGAAAAGAGTATTTTTCTAATATATTGCAAGAAATAGCCAAATCTTCTTATTGAAGAAAGCAGTCAAGAGTGGTTACCTGTACCTAGCATAGTACAATCAGAACCTCGTGGAGGCCACAAGGGACGGGCTTGTCAACGCTGGCTGTTCTTCCTGCCATGATCTTTCTGTGGTAATGGCCAGCAAAAGGCATCGCCCAACTCTCCCGTCCTCCCTTTCCCTGTCCCTTCTTTCTTGCACACAGGACATCAGTCTTCAAGGAAAGGGACTTTTTTCCAGTCTGCCAATCATATTAGGAAAGTGCTAGCCATGCTCACCTCCATGGGGGTATTTTCGGCTCCTCTGCGATCCCATGGTGTTTCTTTAGTCTGATCAGCAGTGTAAATACCCAGTGTGCTTATGAGTTAGTTGGTTAGACATTTTTATTTGTTGGAGTAACTGATTTGGGCTTTCCAGTTGGAAAAGGAGCAGAGAGCTGTCTGGACAGATGGATGGAAGAAAAGAGAACCTCTTCCATGCCTGGAGAACATCTAGAAAACCTTCAGCCAGCCTCCAGCACTGTCGAGAGACCATCTTCCCCACCCTGAGGCATTTCCTCAGGGTCTTTCTCTAGGGTCTTCTCTCTACAAAGCACAACACTAATACATGTTTCCTTAGACCTCAGTTCAAGTGCCCCTATTTATTTCAGTGAGAACACACATATCCTAGCTGCTTTTTGATTGTCACCTCTAGTCGTTATATGTTTCTTTCTTCCTTCACGCTTTGTTCTTTTCTACCCTTTAACAATTTTGCTAGCAAATCTTACTCCACGTGTACCTTTTGGTTTGTGAAGGCAGTGGTTAAGGGCACAAAGACAGCCATGGGGACATTTATGTAAATACGTCTCTCTAATTGCCACACTGCAGCTGAACAGTGTGTAGTATTTTCCCAGTCAGCTTTGCCATACTGACGTCAATCATTTGAGAGAAATTATTCAGATTTTATTTTTGTATCTGTGGTAACAAAACATTAACCAAAAGATTTTCTGTCCAGAAGCTTCCCCGACTCCCCCCCAAGCTGTTTGCTCACATTAACAAATTAAAGTGCCTGAAGCATAATTCATTCTTTACCTGTATACTAAAAACCCTGTTGTATTGATTTTTTTATAATAAGCCTTTTTACCTCTGTGTAAAAAATATATATACAAGTGTATGATGTACATTTTAGTTCTTAACTTTTTTTTATGGTTTCTAATATGTATGACCAATGTAGTCATTGCTTTAAAATTGTACCATGTAAATATAAACACATCCTATCAGATCGTGACTTTGGGGTGTTTGTCTGACTGGAGACGGGGTAACAGCTGACCCTCGCCTGACCCAAGAGTTCTCGCACACAGGATGGGAGGGGGTTCCTGTGGAGAAGGATGTGTGGACACCGGTCTGTTTTTGCGAGGCCTTCCCACCTATAGTGATGTCATATTCCCAAGGGGAGACAGCAGCTCCTTGGGCTCCCTTGGGCTTGGCTGCCTCACGTGAAAGGAATGCTTCATGTCCCCTCCCAGGGAACACCTCCTCTTCCTAGGCCTGGCCTCCCCCATGAGAGCTCCTCAGAGGGAACAGCTGTACTTCCTCCAAGCTGTTTTCCTGATTCCTGCTGAACCTTGGGGTGTTTGTGTGTGTGTGTGTGAGAGAGAGAGAGAGAGAGAGTGTGTGTATGTGTGTGTGGAGTTTGGAAGACAGTTTGAGAAAACAATTGTTAAAACTGCAAGACCCTTGGTCTCCTCAGAGGAGCTCTATTTGGCGCGCTTTCCTTTCCAAGCGGACTGCTTGGATGCTCCAAAGCTGCAGTGACAATCCCCAGAAGGAAGTAACGCATGAGGTCTTTTGAGGGTCACAGAGGAAAGTTTCAGCTCTTTATCTAGGGAATTGAGTAGGGCCCTTAGAAAGAGATACGTGGGGGCCCCTCTGTCTTGGCTGCAACTCTTCCCAAAGGGGGTGATTTTTTCCAAGCCTCTGGCAGAGACGTAAAGCAGGGAGAGATGCTGGGAGTCAGAGAGTGAGAGGAGGACTTGAGGGACTTCCCCGGAGCTAGAGTAGGAAAAGGGCCCCAGGGTCTTACTTGCCCCCTCAAAAGGTCCCTCCTGTTGTCCCTGTGTCACAGCCGAGGGGCTACAACTCAGAAAGGGTAAGGAACCAAGGTGACCTGCAGTCACATGAGGCAAGGACTGAGCCAGGCTGGCTGACTACAGGGCCTGGGTCCTCACTGGGCTCCCTCCCTCCCTGTTGACAACACCAGTCAGGCGCCTTGCCCGGGCCATCGGCTCTCTCAGGCTGCCTCAGGAGTAGACTGTTGACTTTGGTGCCCTGTGTGCTAGGCCAGGAACTGGGCACACTACAGACATCATTTCCCTCTGCAGGATGAAGGTTCATTTCCTCTTTTTTTTTTTCTTAATTTCAGCGAATTATGGGGGTACAAATGTTAAGGCTACGTACATTGCCCATGCCCCCCTCCCCACTCAGAAGTATGACCATCCCCCAAATGTCACACATCTCACTCATTGTGTTTGTATATACCCATCCCCCCCCTTCATTTCCTCTTTGCAAGTGAGATAGCACATGTAGAGAAACGGCAGTGGTCCCTCAGCATCCACAGTGGATCGGTTCCAGGCCCCCCTGCAGATACCAGAATCCACAAATGCTCAAGTCCCTTATATAAAATGGTGCAATAATTGCATATAACTTACATACATCCTTTCATTTACTTCAAACCATACTTAAAATACCTAATAAAATGTAAATGCTATGTAAATATTTAATAAGTATTGTTATACTGTATTATTGGGGGAATAATTGCAAGAAAAAATAGTCTGTACATGTTCAGTACACAGATCATTTTTCCCCCAAATCTTTTCGATCCACGGTTGGTTGAATGAATCCATGGATGCAGAAGGCTGATTGCACATAACTTAATCAAGGTCGCTGGACAGTCTGTTCGCCGTTACTAGCCATTAGCCCTTGAGCAAGTGACTTCACCTTTGCAAGTTTCCTTGGTAGGACAAGTGGAGTAACACCTACCCGCAGCGCTCAGGAAGGTCAAATGATACGCTGTAGTTACAGTGAGGCACGCAGCAGGAGGTGCTCCAAAAATGCTAGCTCGTTTCTTTATTCTGGGCCCTGGGAAACAGCGGGAATTGGAGAGGACAGCACAGGAGACCAAAGCACATTGTCAATATTTTGTGAGTATTTAGACCTACATCCTATATATTGAGATTTCTGTTTCTTACCCTCTCTGTGATTCTGAATTTGTTTTCTATTCCTGCTTACCCTTCCAGATGTGTTATTGCCCCAGTGATTGCTGCAGAAGAGCACCAGGCTGGCTAGATTCCGCAGCAGCCAATTCATGCAACTTGCAGAAAGTCAGCAGCCTGTGTCCACACATTTCCGCCAAGAGGCTGGGTCCAGCTTGGTGACACTTGCCAGGGTTGGAACACTGTGTCTCCTGAGTGCTGCCTACCACCTCCTGCCTCGCTTCTGTGGACTTTGGGGTCACCTCCTACAAGTAAGGCCTCTGTCTGCTCCTCCTTCCTGCTGCTCCCCCATTGCTGGCCACCACCCCCTTCCCCAAACAGTGGACACCCCCAAGAAAATCAGGACATCTCCCAGGGGAAAAAGCATTGTTGGAGGAGTTCTTTACGGGACTTACAAGGCAGTTTGTTGCTCTCTTGTGGCATCTGAGTAGGTGATCACAGAGCAAGCACGGGGCTGTTCAAGTGGGTAGGGGCGGTTATGGAAGTGTACCCACCCCTGCAGGCATTCTTACCCCAGGCCCGTTGGGCTTTCTGATTTGTGGGGTAAGATAATTAGAAATGCCACTCTTCATTCGTTTAAACGAAGGCCTGAACCAGATGCATGGAATGAAGGAAGGTGACCCTGATGACTTCTTTCTTGCACAACCAGATACCAGTTGTGACCATGCAAATCAAGGCTCATCTCATCTCCTCAGCTGCAGCAGCCACCAGTGCTAGTGGTACCCTAGAGGCAAGAGACATGATCTCGCTCTGCCACTCAGGCTGGAGTGCAGTGGCATGATCACCTCTGTCTTCCAACAACACTGTCTTCCAACCCCTCAAGGGTAGTTTTGGGGTCAGGGGAAGCCTGTATATTTATAAAGGAGGAAAAAGTTTCTACATAATAGTCATACCTGGTACTCTTTCTACCTCATATGTCTCTTCTCTCATTCTCTCTTTTTTTTCCTAAAAGTTGGGGAGCAGTTCTGATTATAGAAGTAATATATATATAGTCATAAAAATATCATATACTATAAAAATAATAAGATGTGGCCTGGTAGTGGCTCATGCCTATAATCCTAGCACTTTGGAGGCCAAGGTGGGAGGATTGGTTGAAGCCAGGATTTTGGGACCAGCCTGGGCAACATAGTGAGACCTCATCTCTACAAGAAGTAGAAAAATTAGCCAACCATGGTGGTACGTACCTGTAGTCCCAGCTACTCAGGAGCCTAAAATAGGAGAATGTCCTGAGCCCAGTTGAAGTTGCAGTGAGCTATGATCATGCCACTGCACTCCAGCCTGGATGGCAGAGCGAGACCAAGTCTCTTAAATAAATAAAAAAGACATATATCCAAATAAGATCACATTCTGAGGTTTTGGAAGTTAGGATTCTAACATATGAACTGTCAGGCTTAGGGGGCACACAGGCACACAATTCAACTCCTAAAACTGTATCACACCAAAGGTAATCACTGTGTGTCCTTCTGGACTTTTCTGTGCATTTATGCACAGATGTGTGTATGTGTGTACATTTATGCATGTGTTTCTCTTTGGAGAGGAACCAAAATAGCGTCATGTGTTTTACCTACACTGCTCTGAAAAATGTTTATTTGCCTTGTTTTTACTTAAAGATATATCCTGGCCACCTTTGCATGTGAATACATACAGATTTACCTTATCCTTCTTAACAGCTTCACACTTAAAAAAATCATTTAATTTTTTTATGCAGTTAGAAAAGGTAAGATAATAGCCCTATCATTTGATTAAATAGATATATGTCTCATCAGTTCTTTTACTTCTCCAGTGAATTTAGAGTAAATTCATTGAGTCCTTTCTACTGTTAGGGTTGTAAGGCTTTCCCATAAATGTCCAAAGTCAGTAGTGAACTCAGCATCTTTAATGTTCTCAGTGAAGGTAGGTTGACTGGAAGGGCAAGAGGCTAGTGCTTTGACCCCTGATGAGCACCCAGTCCTTGCCAGTTTGGCCATACCAATTTCAACTTCTCCCTGGGAACAAAGCCAATACCAGGCAACACTGTGAAGTAGACCAGTGGGCTTCCCCTTGCATGCCCTTTGCTTCCAGTCCCCATAACACCTTTTTCAAGACCAGCATCTTCTACTCCTCCAAAACCCCCTGGAAGAGAAAGATCCTTGTGTAGTTTGGATGTGGCTGGTTTGTCCCCACCAAAACACATGCTGAAGTTTGATTCCCGGTGCAGCAGAGTGGGGAGGTGGAGCCTGGCGGAGGTGTTCGGGTTATGGGAGTGGGTTCCTCATGAATGGCTTGCTTGGTACCTTAGTGACTGAGTGAGTTCTCACTCTCATGAGCCTGGATTTGTTCTCACGGGGTGGGATTAGCTTCTGTGAGAGTGGGTTGTTCTAAAGCCAGGACACCCCTCAGGTTTTCCCCTCTTCACACGTGCCCACTTCCCCTTTAACCTTCTCAGCCACTTGGTGACAGCACAGAAAGCCCTTGCGGGAAGCCAGGGCCATGCCCTTGAACATTTCAGCCTGCAGCACTGAACTAATCTAGCCATTGTATGCTTGACCACAGGGCACACTCTTAAAAGACAATGCCATTGTCCTTAATAATGTGCTCGGGGGTGGTGGCTCTTGCCTTTAATCCTAGCACTCTGGGAGGCCGAGGCAGGCAGATTGCTTGAGGTCAGGAGTTCGAAACCAGCCTGAGCAAGAGCGAGATCCCATCTCTACTATAAATAGAAAGAAATTAAGGTTTGGCGATTAAATATTATAGAAAAATTAGCCGGGCATGGTGGCACATGCCTGTAGTCCAGCTACTCGGAGGCTGAGCAGTAGGATCGCTTGAGCCCAGGAGTTTGAGGTTGCTGTGAGCTAGGCTGATGCCACGGCACTCACTCTAGCCTGGGCAACAAAGCGAGACTCTGTCTCAAAAAAAAAAAAAAAAAAATGCTTGATGAAGCAATACATTTATTAATTTTAATAAATACCTACCTCCAACAAAAGATGATTATGTGAAGAGGCAACAGGAAGGCAGCCAACTGCAAATCCAG